AATAACTTAAGACAGCGACTTATCTTGTCAAAGAGATAAAAGATTGAATTTTTATTCTAATAAGACATTTACTGAGAAATAAGAGGATGTCGTGGGAAAGGATGTAGTTTGTTACATACATAAACACTAGTACTATTTCTTTAGAAAATTTCCAGAATCTTAATACTCGAAGATTTTAATGTTGATTGTATTATCAAAAGCCTTCACCAGTATACCCATAAATTTTATGATGACGATAACTGATGATTGAACAAGTCTTCCATCATCCCCCTTCGTTTATCGCAATCTACGTAGATCTACGCATTTCAGAGTACAATCCCTTTTTAAAATTTTCAACTTAGAGGCAGTCTAGGTCATGATTAATAATTGTACAGGTCATCATTCATTCCACTATCTTATCCTACTTTCGTATGGCGCAACAGGTTTTTGTCCTCCACATAACTCTATCATATGTCACCTTTCACGCAATCTATCCATTTTTTTCTAGGTCTACCTCTACCAGTATACCTCAAATCTCATTATTAAAGTCCTCCTTGTAACATAATATTATTAATACTTGTACAGGTATGGGAAGAAATGGGCACACTCCTCCCTGAATCGGACTCTATCAGTGCGGGCTGGAGACGGGACTCAGGTCCAGGGTCAGGGTCCCGTCGTGTCTGCGGCGACTGGAGCGGCAAGTTGAAGTTACTTCGATACCAGTCGCGGAGCAACGCGCTGCGACTGCGCTTCCGGACAGACCACTCCGGACACTACGCGGGATTCAGAGCAAAGATTACTGTCGCTGACTGTGAGTACAGTTAATTGACAAAAAGCTTTGATTTACATATAATCCTGATTTAGTTAAAGCTTGAATATTAATATAGTAAATAAAACTATTTAACTTTAACGTAGTCTTTGACTTCGAAAATAAACAGACATGCCACCTGCAAGCACTATCATTCGGATAAAAAAATAATTTTCAAAAGTGGTCTACCAGGGGCGGAGTGCCTTACACAAAAAAAAAGCATCCATCTAATTGTGTACCTCCTTTTTTTGGGTAGTCGTTAAAAAAGCATGTTAGATTAAGAGTCTAAGTCGCTAGTAACAAAATATCTTTCTTATTTCAAAGAGACTACTAAACAATTTTTATGTAATACGACCAATGTTACCTACGTCTGAGTTTCTTTTACTTAGACATTTTTATTTAAACCATATTTAAACTCAATATCGTAAATTGAACCACAATGTCTCTATTTGCATCAACATTTCATTGTTAGTATCGTCTATTGTCTAAAATCAAAGTTATCCAATTGCAACTTTCTACGATACGTGGCAAAGGAGCGGAGTTTTACGAACAAACAATGTAGGGCACACGACGGATACAAGCGAGCCCGACAGCCATTCAAACAGCTAACAAACATACTTCGCTACGTTATACTGGAACTTATTAACAAAACTTCTATATTGACAATTTTAAAGTTCACGTAACTGTACACTAAAGTCTATCAATGTCTAAATCCAAAAACGTGACGTCAGTTGTCACAACCCAGCAATAAAGTGTCTTTAGACCATCTTTGATTAAGCGTTTCTCTAAATTTAAACAAAACAAGGAACTTAAGTGACATCTGAACGATGGTGAACACGAAATTTTTACTAAACATTGCTTAAGGGATGGTTGGTGAAAATTACCTTATATCTCTTGGTGCTTTTCAAGTTTCACAACCTAACTATTCAATTGTAAAATCCTTCAGCATTTGTTTTAATAATTGAAAATAACAGTAGAAATACATTACTTTCTTTTGTAGTATTTGTTCAAATATACGTATCAGACATTTGTAAATCGCCAAGATATCTAAAGTGCATTTGAATACCTTTTATCCGAGAACGAATGAATGATCTAGATACCAAGTGCATTTGAATTCCACTCATTCAGAGAACGAATGAACGAGTGGTGAGCTAACGACGAGGGAATGGTTTTGTACAGCTTTGAAAGCGGTTTTGCGGAGATTCGCACGGCTGGATATCCGTAGAGTAGTGAAAATGATCTCTGTAAATCAGGATTTTAATATTTTCTTCTCTTTATAGACCTCACATTACATGCTTTCAATGTCTAAATTCTTATATAAGATTCTACGTTTTTGTACAAATGTTTCGTCAATGAAAAGTCGCGATTAGACATAAATTTATATTTAAAAGACTTACGTAACTATCAAGAAATGTCGATTCTTTTGAAAGGTCGCGTGTCGAGTCGAGGCCAAACTGCGCGTGAAACGACTTCGAGATGACTGCACGCCTCACTGGTCGCTACTGCCCTTAGCGTTTGACAGCTTCATAGGAGCCCACATTCAATTCAATACAATTTCTATACAATATGTTACAAAAAACGTTAACACGAATTGAGTCCTAGCGGACATGTCCTTTAGGTTTACTTTACGTCAATTAATTTTAACAGAAACTTCAGTTTTAAATGTGAGAAACCAATATTAATTTGCTTAGTTTGCCAATAAGATGTAAATACATAACCTTGCTTACTTACTAACACGTTTTTACCAAGTTTTCTATCTTAAATAGCTGTTCCCGTGCGATTTCATCTGCATAAAATTATTTTATTGTTAACATGTGTCAAATTGTCAATTGCAAATGTCAAAATGACAAAAACCTGGCAAGCTTGCTTCCTTGATGTTGGCAGCAACTTGTGGTCTCTTTCCCACATTAGGGTTTTTATCCAAAATATTTTCCCCTAAGTTTAATGGCGTGAAAAATATATAGCCTAAAGCGGGACCTAAATGTAGGGCTTTTTATTTAAAAAAGAGTTATTTAAAAAAGTTTTATGATTGCTGACATCTTAGGCAACAAAGAAGTGTGTGTTTACGCTTTATTATAATAGTATAGATATAGATAATTCTTTAAGACAAAAAATCTGAAAAATCTAGTTATATTTCTTATAAATTTGTGGATATAGTCTTGTCTAGTTAAGCCTTTTCACCAAATTTATGCGTACCCTTTAGAGTTCGTCTTAAATGAATCCCATGGCGCCATTAAAGAACAATTTACGACTCGAATAGAACCGTATCTAAGTAACGTTAAATAATGTATAACATAGATAAAAGTTTCTGTATTCAGCTATGCATATTTAGCTGTTTTATAGTATTTATTCTAAACTAGTTATTCCCCGCGACTTCCTCCACGCAATATTAAGATAAACAAGCTTATATTATGGCCGTCTATGTATACCCTTCAGTGAAAGTCCGGTCGAAATTGGCCCAGTCGTTTCAGACAGGCAGACAGACAAAAAAAATGCGATTCATCAACAACGCATATTTATCAGAAATCGGGAATTTTTCTTATGATATAACAAACATACACACCAATTTTATTACTTGTATGTATAGTTATTAAATAATAGATTTTAAAGAATTCAGCGAAGTCTCTCTAAACAAAACATCAAACATTAAAAATGATTTTACTTTGCTGTTCTTTCATTATTTCATTATTATTTTGACTATTTACACTTACACAATCCACTTTGAGTTTAATTACAATAGCAGTAAATAACATTTTCTATTATCATGTTAGGAAATGCGTCTATTCCATGCTACGGAATACATTCCGCTTGGCCGACTGCGATAGAATATTGTTAGACGTTGCATTGTGGATTGCGGAAACTCTCTTGAAAACATCTAGGAAACGTATTTACATTTATGTTATGAAATTGTAATTCTCGTTAGTTTTCCTCATGAATTGAATGTAAGAAGAGATAAATATAAACTGAATTGCAATAAGAGAAAAAGAGATTTAGTTTTAGACAATCAATACCGCTAGCGTAAGCCTAAGTAGGGTGACAACCTGAACACTGGAAAAAAGGGGATTTTTATCAAAAAAATCGTTTATGAACTAAAGAAATAATGTCTTAGGTTTTACTGATTTAGAAAACTGCAATATAGTTAGTTAATTTAAAATAAATGAGCCTGCAGCAATCGCATTTGCGTTGGCTCTTACGTAAACTGATCTAAGTGAAAAATCTAACGTTACATAAGAGCAGTTTTTAGGTGTCGGAACTGCTTGTCATATTTCGTACATTGTTTCTTTTATAATATATCTCTAATACTGTACGATGAAGTTTTCAATTTATTTTCTTCTTTAAAAGTGTAGGAATGCGTTGATTTAAAGAATGAACGGAGATGTCCGTCCGTAATATTCTCAGAGGGCCAAAGCGATTACAATACACCTGGAGATTATTGGAATCCTATTCAAAACGATTTGGAATTTAATTTTCAATTCATCGAAGACGCTTTTATCTTTCATGTAATCCGTAGACGTTCGGAGACCGGACGATATTCAGCTAAATAAAAAATTAAATGAACTATAAGGTAGAGAAGTATGGCGTTTTGCGGATTATCGATTTTTGTAGTACGCCTTTTCAAGACAAAGCCAGTGTTTCTAATAAGAAAAAAGTAATAAAAAAGTGTGTGTGTTATTATATAAAAAGTATTTTTCGATTATGCCATAATTATTTTTATAGATTTAATAATTAATCGTAAACTCATACCAACTATGTTTTTTGATTCTTTGTCTAAATTCGAAATAGTGTTTACATAACGTACTCGCAGTTTTAAAAAGCTATTCGAATTTTTAGAACACTTTTAAACATATTTGACCTCGACTGTATTTTAAAAATGTAACTAGCGCTGCGAAAAACATCTGTGAGCGCATCTAAATACCATTCACTGAACGAATGAACGAGTGAACGGAATGCACTAACGAGGCAGTTTTTCCCGTTGTTCATGTAACTACACAAGTATACGTTGGTTATATACACTTCCAAGTTTTAATATATGTCTTGAAATAGCAAATTAGAACATTGTGACATTTAAAACGAGAAATCTGTATTGGTCTTTAAAATCTTACTTAAATAGTAGCTTCCTCATACTTAAACTAGAACTATTCGTCTGCCTTAAAGTACTAAAGAAGTAGACGACTTAGAGTCCTTGCAAGTAGCGAGCATACTGTTTCTTCAAAGGCCGGCAACGCATCTGTAGTTCCTCTGGTATTGCAGCTGACCACCTCGGTGATCTCACTGCTCGCTTTTCCACTTTTAGTTTAAAAAAGAAACTCTCCCTTCTCAACTAAAATTGAGAATTAAAGTCCCCAAAGTAGGCAGTTATATTTTTTGCCAGTAATTGTTTAACAATAATATGCTGGTTACAGCCCAAACCTGTATGGACGCTAAGCAAGTGTTATTTAACGGGCACTGCTATCTATTCTCCGGCTACCCGCGCGCTTCCTGGACCACCGCCAAACAAGTAAGTCAGATAAACAACTTTCTGTATTTTTTATTTTTAGCTGGTCTGGCTGTAGCTAGCCCTTCTTTTATCTTAGTTCTACAGCCCTTAACTCGGCTTGCTTGACAAATTTCTTCCTAACTTGGGTGGCTCTTTTTGGTCTCATCAACATCTCCTACCTTATCCTACTCCCGTAATGTCTTTATAACATAAGTAACATGGAAATAAGTTATATTTTAGTTACAGCAATAACTTCACTTTGTGTGTTTCAAAAATGTTGCTTTCTTTCTGAATATTAACAATATTTAAAGCATATGTCGCTTTTTAAGTCCGAAAATGATCATAGTAAGTGAAGCCGATATTTCGTTGATACCAAATCTTGGTAGTTTTGGTGATCATCTCGTTTGCTTACGATATGTACCAACTTAACGTCAAACTTCTTCTGGCTTAATCAGTACGTTCGATAATGAACTGTAACCGAACTCATCCAAGTCGAACTTCTGTCACTATCGGTGTAATTTTGTTGCAATCGAAGTCGCGCTATTCCCTTAATGGCACAGTATAAGTTTCCCCAAGTTTAGTCGTCCCGTAATTAGTTAATGGCAAATCGATTTGTAAAATAAATAAAAGAAATCATTACTATCCATTGTTTATCTTTTCATATTTACATTAAGGGATTCTAGCTAAATCAATAATTCCTGCAAAAACTGTTGGATTTTTTGATGCGTCTTTAGTCCGCCCTCATTGACCTCGTTCCGTTGAGGCATCGCTAATTCCCTCATTGTGGGATCCATGATAAGGTAAGGATCCTCGGATTTCGTCAGACCAATCTAAATGCCTTAATCCCTCTGAGATCAGAATTCCTTGTCTCTAATGATTGTAAAAAGCTAGTTTCTTCAGATTTGACATATTTTTATAACGATTTAACTAGATTTTCTTGAGAAAGTTGCTCTTTTCTTCAAAAAACGTTAAATTTGCAGGTATGCGAAGGTCTGAACATGCATCTCTCTTCAGTCCATTCCGCAGAAGAGGAACGGTTCATTATATCTGGCATCAGACAGAGCAGTGATTATAGCGCTGGTGCGGTCTACTGGCTGGGCGCGAGGGTCCAAAGACCAGGAGGCAACTTCAGCTGGGTTGATGGAAGTATCTTCGAGTACCAGGCCTGGCCGCCGTATAATGATACCGAGGATATTGAAGAGCCGTGTTTGGGTGTTCAGGTATCTATAATTTTATACAAAAAAGCAAAATTTAAACTCAAAAGACCACCATTGTTAATATTTCTGCGATATTGCTAACGAGTTTTTATTTAAGGAGTAGAATGTAGAAATAACAGATGTTAACATGACAAAAGTAATAATCTAAGTTAAAAGTAGAAATCGTATCGAGGGAAATGCAATTTTATCGATTTAACTTTTACTTATCTTTATAATTGAAGGCCAAAGAAGCTTAACTACTATGAATAATTTGTTCGAACAAAGACTTCTTACAAATAGGCACTTTATGTTTTGACTTATAAAAGCACCATCTAGCAGATTTATATTAAAAAAAGTAAAATATATAACAATTACACTGATATAAAAAATCGGATAAGCTACCACAGAATTACTTAAAGATATAATTGTATTAATTCAAAAAAGCTATTTCTCTACCGTTCCATTTTATTTAGCCGCACCTAATCTAGGTATTAAAGCTAAGATTAAGATCAAAACGAATTATCTAGATTTTCTTAGCTCTGTTTTCCTCGATTTCACTTTGTATCAGTAAGTATTACGGTTGAAGACATTTAAGCAATCTGATAAATTTAATAGGATTTAAAAAACAAAACTAAAATATACAATTATAAGATTCAAAGAACGTTATTAAAGCAATTTTCAATCAGATCAACAAATAAGTTAGTTTACCCACATTTTTTTACACACCGTACAAACAACTCACGCTAACATTGAAGGTCCAAGATCCCTTTGTTCTTAAAAGTAAATAACGGACACATCTAAAGCCTAAATTGCCTATTGGGCAATATCTCCGTGTGGATCTTTAGTACTAAATCTATCCTAAAGTTCACTCTTAACGTAGAATTAATAATATTTTGTCAGTGGCGAACATCACCAGTGCCGTCGCAGCCGAGCGGACTGTACTGGACGCAGCATAAATGTGTGGTCACTGGCGGCTATGTTTGCAAGAGACGCCTCAACCCTGAACATATCCTGAAGAACAACACCGTTGAGGGAAATTCAGGTATTGTAGAGATACAACAATCATCTAGTTTTCTAATTAGGTTACCTTCAAGATTTATGGTAGTTGTCCCAAGGTATTTAACCAATTGACTTTTTTCCTCATTATTCTCTGACATTATCTGGTTAATTCTTCGCTTATTTATTCAAAAGATTTATTTTAAAATATTAACTTGTTTTAAATTTATCTTCCTTGAGTATACTTAACAGTAGATAATATCAGATTTCGTTTACTTCCTTCGTTTTTAATTAAATTTGATGTTTATTGCAGGAGAACTGTCCAGCCCTAACCACCCAGGGCTGTATGACAACGAGGTGGACTACTGGGTGCAGGTGGCAGGCCCCCCCGACACGAGGCTCGTCTTCGTCTTCAAATCCATAGATCTCGAGTACCAGAATGATTGCTTATACGATTACGTAGAAGTAAGTATACTCAGACATTTAAAAAAAAAATTCATGGCAACTTAGAAGGGATTATTCCCAACCGTCGCCCCACTCTGTCCCCACGTGGAGATAGATGAGAATAAAAAGTTTTACCCGTCCCTCCTTTTGCAACGAGGGGACGGTTGGAACTTATTTTATTTCATAGCGGTTCCATCTGTCACCTTATTGGTGATAGTGGGACTAAAGGGTGGGACGGATAAAACTTCTTATTTTCACGTGGGGACAGAGCGGGGTGACGGTTGGGAATAAACCCTCAGAAGTTACTTTATTTTGAATAAGAACTTTTTTCCTGAATCCGCCGAAATGAAGCGATTGCCCAGACATCCGCAATTGCACATGTGTAGCCTACCCTTAATTGATTGGAGACGCACATAAAGAGGATATTTCCCCTTTCTATGCGTTTCCTCCGCCATCAAATGCACTATTTTTCCCACCCTTTCCTCTTAAGAAAAGGGTGGAAAGGAAAAGCGACCAAAACTAGAGGAACTAGCTAATTGATTCACCAGATTATTAATGACGACTGGACAGCTGCAATAATCTGAAGGGTTGCAGATGGAAGCATTCAACCTTGTATTCCCATAATATATGTAAAAATATCTTAAATATTTTTTCTTGCATTCAGTTGAAGGACGGCTTAACAACGAAATCGTCGCGTTACTGCGGCTCGCTCGGAGAGACGCGATGGGTCGCCACCAGCAACCTAGCTACGCTGCACTTTCATTCCGATTACAAGTGAGTTTTCTATACTCATATTATAAAATAGAAAAAATTGTGTTTTTGTATTTTATTTATTGCTATACTTAATTAAAAAACTACTGGACAGATTTCAAAAATTCTTTCATCATTTAAAAGCTACGTTATTAGTATCAAAGGCTATATTTATTTTTAACACGCGGACGAAGTCGCGAGCAACAGCTAGTGTATAAAGTAGAAATATTCGTATTTTTGGATTTTTTTATGTATAGAAATAACTTAAACTGCACTGACCCTATTTTAAATTTTTACACCACTAAAAAGCTACGTTATCAATGAATAACATAGGCTATATTTTTTATTTATTTCACGCGGTCGAAGTCACAAGCAACAACCAGTCTTCCAAAATGATGATATTACTATTGACAAATTTATTACTAGGTACAGTGTCTTCCGTGTAATATTTTTTTATGAATTGTTAGTTTTAATATTTTGTTGCCTTTACTTGTAGCACCCAAGGGTCTGGTTTCTCATTATCGTGGCGCGCGGTGGAGCTGGCAGGATGTCCTTCGCAGACGTTCACGTCCAAAGAAGGGCAGCTGCGGAGCCCCAACTTCCCGCACTTCCTGCTGCCCGGCCTCGACTGCACCATACACATCCTCGCACCTTCAGGTTAGATCGGTAAATCTTCACAATTCACTAATGAATCTTTTATTCGTATTTTTTCGCCGATTTCTGGTCTACTTTTATTCGTTCGTTAGTGTTTATAGTTCCATGACTTCATTAAACGCGGTTCCGAACTGTGTAATTTGTATATTACTCTATTGAAACTAAGTTCAACCTAACACTAATGAATCAGTAGATAATCTTACTAATATTATAAATGTGAAACTTTAGATGGATGTATGGATGTTTGTTAGAGTGTGTAGCCTAAAGTGCTGAACGGATCTTGATGAAATTTAGTACAAATGTAGATTATTTGAATGAATACATAGGCCACTTACTTTTATTTTAATACCACGCGGACGGAGTCACTGGCGAAAGCTAGTGTTGAAATAAATGAAAACTTCAGCAACCCAGTATTAGTTACATCGTTGTTGAATTACCTTACATGTGAATGATTGCACTACGATGACGCCATTAACTTCTGCGTAACAAAAAAGAAAATGTACCTTTTCTAAATTTCACAGGGAAACGTGTATTTCTTAACATCAGTCACTTTGATTTCGGCTACGGAACATTCGCGAACGGAGTTCCCGTCAACGTATCGGAAGTGATACCGGAGGATACGTTCCTTGAGGTCCAGATCGACCCCGACAGCGCCCCCATACGAACCTTTGTTAACCCGAACATACTAACCAACGGAATCTTTGTATCAAAATCTGAAATGATGAGACTAAGACTGAGGACTGGAGAGAACGTCACTGGCGCTGGCTTCCTTGCGGTATTCAAAACCGGTTGGTATCTATACTAATATTATAAAGAGGTGAGACTTGTGTTTTGTATGTATTGGAATATCTCAAAAACTACTGGGTCGATTTCAAAAACTATTTCATCATTAAAAAGCTACGTTATCAGTGAGTAATATAGACTATATTTTTTTATTTACGCGAATGAAGCAACGCAACAACTAGTCTACACTAATGTTATAAAGAAGAAAGATTTTTATTTTTGTATGTATTGAAATAACTCAAAAACTACTGGGACAATTTTAAAAATTCTTTCACCGATCTAAAGCTACAATAACACTGAGTAACATAGGCTATATATTTTTATTGTTTTTTGATTCACGCGGAGGAAGTCGCAAGCAACAGTTAGTTTTTGACTGACTTGATAATCTGCGCTTTTCGTTCATTACGG